TTATTTTGAATCACGAATAATGTATTTGTCATTATAATATATTGGCAGACTTTCTGGGGAAGACCTGGTCTGATCCGGAGAGACGGCATCCATCCCACTTGGGAAGGAGCAGCTCTCATTTCTAGAAATCTGGCCAAGTTTATTAGTGGACCAAATCCATGACAACCCAGAGTTGAGACCAGGAGGCAGAGTCGCAGTTTAACACACTTCTCTGCCCTTCTTTTTCAGCAGTTACCCACCCAAAACCCTACGCAGAGTCGCAGTCTAACACACTTCTCTGCTCCTCCATTTCAGGAGTTACTTAGTGAAAACCTATAGTGACGGTGTCTGTCCCCCGACCATCGAAATTATTTAAAAAGGTAAACAGAAGAGGAGCTGTGCATAAAAACCTCATAAAAATTAAAACCACAAGAGCAATAGTGCAAACAATAGGAGAGTTAAATGTGGACTCTTAAACATCAGATCTCTCTCTTCTAAAGGTGTACTAGTAAATGAACTAATATCAGATTATGATATTGATTTATTTGGTCTTACTGAAACCTGGCTGGGTGATGGAAATATGTTAGCCTAAATGAATCCACCCCTCCCAGTCATATTAATACTCACATTCCTCGAGGCACAGGCCGAGGAGGTGGAGTTGCAGCTATCTTCGACTCTAGCCTATTAATCAGCTCTAAACCTAAACTAAACTATAACTCATTTGAAAGTCTTGTTCTTAGTCTTTCGCACCCAAGTTGGAAATCACTGCAACCAATTCTTTTTGTTATAGTGTACCGAGCACCTGGCCCGTATTCTGAATTCTTATCTGAATTTGCAGAGTTTTTGTCAACTTTAGTCCTTAAAACGGACAAAGTTATTATTGTAGGGGATTTTAATATTCATGTAGATGTTGAGAATGACAGCTTCAGTACTGCGTTTATCTCTTTGTTAGATTCCATCGGCTTCTCTCAGAGTGTTCATGAACCGACTCACTGTTTTAACCACACCCTTGACCTTGTTTTGGTGTATGGTATTGAAATTGAACATTTAGTGGTGTTCCCACAGAATCCCTCTTTATCCGACCACTGTTTGATAACTTTTGAGTTTGTATTGCTGAACTACTCGCCATTGGGCAAAAATTTCTATACAAGATGTCTGTCTGATAGTGCTATAGCTAAATTTAAGGATGCGATTCCATCAGCTCTAAATACATTATCTAGTCACAAAGTAACGGAGGACTCCTATGCTAATTTCAGTCCCTCCCAAATCGATCATCTTGTTGATAGTGCTGCTGGCTCGCTGCGAATGACACTCGACTCTGTAGCCCCTCTAAAAAAGAAAATACTAAAACAAAGACGGTTAGCTCCATGGTATAATACTGAAACTCGCAAATTAAAGCAAATATCACGGAAACTTGAGAGGAATTGGCGTTCCACCAAAGTGGAAAATTCTCGTTTAATTTGGCAAGATAGTCTTAAAACTTATAGGAAGGCCCTCCGTAATGCCAGAGCAGCGTACTACTCGTCATTAATAGAGGAAAATAGGAACAACCCCAGGTTTCTTTTCAGCACTGTAGCCAGGCTGACAGAGAGTCACAGCTCTATTGAGCCAAGTATTCCCATAGCTCTCAGTAGTTACGACTTCATGAGCTTCTTTAATGATAAAATTCTAGCTATTAGAGACAAAATTCACCAAGACCTGCCCTCAACTGGCACCGACTTATCTCTAAACTCAGGAACCTTAGAAACAGCTGTAGAACCAGATACATGTTTAGACTGTTTTGCTTCCCTCAATCTTTACCAACTAACTTCAATAATTTCTTCATCTAAACCATCAACCTGCCTCTTAGACCCCATCCCGACTAGGCTGCTTAAAGATGTTTTACCCTTAGTCAGCACCTCTATACTAGATATGATCAATCTATCTTTATCAACAGGCTATGTACCACAGTACTTTAAAGTAGCTGTAATTAAACCTCTTCTGAAAAAGCCCAAACTTGATCCGGATGTTTTATCAACTATAGACCTATATCTAACCTTCCATTTCTCTCTAAGGTTCTGGAGAAAGCAGTTGCTAAACAGCTGTGTGACTTTCTACAGAGCAATAGTTTATTTGAGGATTTTCAGTCAGGATTTAGAGCTCATCATAGCACAGAGACAGCACTGGTGAAAATTACTAATGACCTCCTTATTGCATCAGACAAAGGACTTGTCTCTGTACTGGTTTTATTAGATCTTAGTGCTGCATTTGATACCATTGACCATCAGATCCTATTGCAGAGACTGGAATATTTCATTGGCATTAAAGGAACCGCTCTAAGCTGGTTTAAGTCCTATTTATCAGATCGATTTCAGTTTGTACATGTTAACGATGAGTCCTCCATGCACGCCAAAGTTACTCATGGAGTTCCTCAAGGATCTGTCCTTGGACCAATCCTCTTCACTTTATATTGCTTCCTTTAGGCAATATTATCAGGAAACATTCCATAAGCTTTCATTGTTATGCAGATGATACTCAGTTATATCTATCGATCAAGCCAGATGAAACTCATCAGTTAGCTAAACTTCAAATGTGCCTTCAGGATGTTAAAACCTGGATGACTGTAATTTTCTTGTTAAACTCAGATAAAACTGAAGTTATTGTTCTGGGGCCTAAGCACCTCCGTGACGCATTATCTAAAGATATAGTTTCCCTGGATGGCATCGCCTTGGCCTCCAGCACCACTGTGAGGAATCTTGGAGTTATCTTTGATCAGGACATGTCGTTTAAGTCCACATTAAGCAAATTTCAAGGACCGCCTTTTTTCACCTACGTAATATTGCGAAAATCAGGAACATCCTGTCTAAAAATGATGCAGAAAAACTAGTCCATGCATTTGTTACTTCTAGGCTGGATTACTGCAATTCCTTATTATCAGGCTGCTCGAAAAAGTCCATTAAGACTCTTCAGCTGATCCAGAATGCTGCAGCACGTGTTCTGACAGGAACCAGGAAAAGAGATCACATTTCTCCTGTTTTAGCTTCTTTGCATTGGCTTCCAGTAAAATCCAGAATAGAATTTAAAATCATTCTTCTTACCTACAAAGCTCTTAATGGTCAGGCACCATCTTATCTTAAAGAGCTCATAGTACCTTACTACCCCACCAGAGCACTGCGCTCCCAGAATGCAGGGTTACTTGTGGTTCCTAGAGTCTCCAAAAGTAGACTAGGAGCCAGAGCGTTCAGCTATCAAGCTCCTCTCCTGTGGAACCAGGTTCCAGTTTGGGTTCAGGAGGCAGACACCATCTCCACATTTAAGAGTAGGCTTAAGACTTTCCTCTTTGATAAAGCTTATAGTTAGGGCTGGCTCAGGTAGTCCTGAACCATCCCTTAGTTATGCTGCTATAGGCCTAGACTGCCGGGGGATTTCCCATGATGCACTGAGCTCCTCTCTCCTCTACTTTCTCTCCCTCTGTATGCAACCTTATCCCATTATTGCATGTTACTAACACAACTTCTCCCCTTTCTGGTAGTCTTGTGCTTTCTCGTCCCTCTCCTCTCTCCTCCTATCACTTCCTGCAGGTTTTCTGGCTCTGGAGCTGTGGAGTCTGGATCTGTGGCTGCGGGTCGCCTGCTGCCCCCGTGTTCCTGCTCGACACCCTCTACTGCAACGACTGTTGCTGTCTTATTGTTATTATAATCATTAACATTACGATGGTTACCATTAACACTATTATAAATATCTGTACCATTTTTCATTTAGTTATAGCAACATTACCTTCGCTGTCTGTACCTCTGTGTGTATATTGTGTAGGCTGCCTCCCTCCCCTCTCTCTCTCCTTACATCCCTCTCTCTCTCTCTCTCTCTCTTTCTCTCTCTCTCTCTTTCACTCTCTTCTCTCTCTCTTTCTCTCTCTCTCTCTCTCTCACCCCAACCGGTCGAGGCAGATGGCCGCCCACCCTGAGCCATGGTTCTGCTCGAGGTTTCTGCCTCTTAAAAGGAAGTTTTTCCTTGCCTCTGTCGCCTAGTGCTGCTCTTGGTGGGAACTGTTGGGCTTCTGTAAATATCATCACAGAGTACGGTCTAGACCTGCTCTTTTATGAAAAGCGCTGTGAGATAACTGTTGTTGTGATTTGGCGCTATATAAATAAAATTGAATTGAATTGAATTGAATAATTAGTACCTACTATTATTTACATTAAAAAGATAAACAGACTTAAATTAACTGCTTTCCTAATGAACTACTATCCTACAGGATGCTGCACTTCTCCACCATCAGCCGCTCTCGTGCGCACAGTTTAGAACTAACTGGACCCAAACCTCAGTTGTATTGTACTGTGCTTTTTGATGCATCCTCCAATTAGTACAGTGCTACATATGATAAAATGCTTGCAGCTGTGTGCTAAAATAATAACACGTTAAGGGCAGAGACCCCAGCGAAGCTCAGATTATAACTCGAACCCTGATCTAGACAAATTAAACTTCCATTTCAGAAAAACAGATGACTGCAGATGAAGTGTTTTCAGAGGAGGGTGTTCAGGATAAGCTGCCAAGCAAAAGTACCTTGTAATTTGTCTCCCTCTTCCTTAGAAATTGTAAATGCGTCTTGATTTACACCCCCAGTCATAAGGCTTCCTTCATGTAGGAAGTTGCAGAGCATAATGCATACTTCTTTTTGTCAAATTCAGTGAACACTAGCTGTCCGTTCTGTGTCTGCACTAAAAATAAATCAGGTCTTTTTGTACTTGGCTCAGTTTATGGGAAATAAACTGTTTTCTAGCATTTGTTTTTTTCTTTATCTACATCCCACCATCACAGTATACTGTATTTTATTCCATCAACAAAAAACTGTTTTTATTTTTCCTGCTTAATCAACTTTAGAAATACAGTTTTTAAATGTTGAATTTACATATATGTAAAATTAAATTTTACATATACATACAGTCAATTTTTATTCTCCTACAAGAACCAGGTACCATTAAACTGTCAGCTAATGTGTATGCAAATAAATCAGTCAACAACACAACAAACAATGAATGAAACTTTGTATAGTTATTTTTATTGTCAATAATATGGTCAGAGTGAGTGGTTTTCTACACTGACAAACAGGCCCATTTAGAGGAGCCATCACAAAAACCTAAACCAAAAAATCTAATCTATTTATATGTTTTTTTACATTGTGCAAATGGAAATAAAACAGTGCAAGATGAGTCATATATTTATTCCATCACAAAAGTGTGTCATTGCTTGGCTATATTTATTTTTAGATTTAAAGCACATATTTGGCCACACTTAGCTTTGAGCTTATCACAGATATTTTGCTATCAGCACACTCTATATGTTGGCCAGAAAGTAAAGAGATCACAGTACAGAAATGACAAATACATGTTTGATCTAAGTTAGAGACAGTGTTTCTGTTTGTCCTTGAGGGAGCAGTGACTCTGTCTAAAATGTCCTGCTCAGTACACATGTTGGACACAATTATCAAGAAATGTCTGCCTTATTTGTTTATATTAATAACATTTGGAATATTGATATTATGCAACTCACATGTTGTTTCAAGTTGTGTGAAAAAAGAAAAAATATGTCTTAAAAATCTTTGTATGTTGTTGCTGCATCTTTGAATATACGTGTTTCATTACTTGGATAAAAACCCATGTTGATATTCCCCTAAAAAATCCAATCCTTTTTAACTATTCATAACTTTATAATCAACTGGTTCAAGATCATTTCATTTCTAGTCCATCATGTTAATATGTATATGCAAAGAAATCCCATCCCAGGACTTTATCTGGTCAGACAGCTGCACACTTGTAGGATTGTTTCTGTTCTTCTAACATCTTGTCCACTGTCTGCATTAGCTTCTTCACTTGACCTGAATCTGAGCCACTGTTCTCAAAAACAACACACCTGTTGCCGCACTTTTTAATTATTTCCCTGAGATCTGTCTGGCAGGACCTCGAAAATGTCTGCAAGCTCATCTTTGCACGCTGCAGGTCGTCCACACGAGTAAACAGGATGACTGTTTGTTCCTGAACGTTGTTACCAAAAGCTGTTTCCAGCTTTTTCAGTATGTTTCTCTCACTGTCTGAAAATCTGCTAATTTGCATCACAAGTAAGTAAACACAAGGTCCTGACTGACAGAGCTCTTTGCACTTTTTCACATGTTCGTCCTTAACTGATGATTCAATCTCATCATCAAAGATGTCTGGGGTATCAATGACCCGTACACGTGTACCGTCTATCTCTGTTTCTGCCACTTGGCACTCTGTGGTGGTCGGATTTGAACTGGCTCTAGACCTGAACTGCTTCTTTCCCAGGATTGTGTTTCCACTCGCACTCTTTCCAGTCCCGGCCATTCCCAGCAGAACAAGGGTCACTTCGGTACCAGAGGACTTTCCTGCTTTGATGTAGAACAAAAAGAACGTTACATTTACCTGTTTTAATAAATCCAAGCAGCTGCACTTTTAAGAGTGACTGCTTTCATTAAAACACAAAACTACTGCATTTTTGTAATAATTTACGGTTTCAGTTCAGACACATCTTAAAAACACAGATCTTACTTTTTAAACTCTTCTTGCCTTCAGTGATGTCGTTTGCATTTCCTGAACAAAAAGGCAAAATGAGAGTTTTTGTAAGTTGCTATAAAACCTTAGATTCTGTTAGAGTTAATTACCCTTCACTAAACGCAACACATTTGACTACGTTATAATAAAGAGGCTGCTGAGAGAGATTGTGTCTCACCTGTTTTCTCCACTGCAGTGTTTGGTGTTGACACATATAACTCAGGATTGTCAGCATGCCTATAATGTAAAGGCAGAACCATATCAGCTTACCAATATGTTCTAAAGCTGCACACTGCCCCCGACAAACGCCGACCGACTCCAACCAACAAACCAACACTGTTGGATCAGTGTGCGCCGTCAGTCGGTGTCAGTCGGATGGAGTCTTTAGAGTTTGACATTTCTATTCGGGTTGGGTGGGGTTGTAGAAAGTTGGACTAATGTGCGCCGTTTTCCGTTTGACAGCTGTGCGTACTCGCATGCGGAACATCAGCGCGCACGACTTTCTTTGATGTCAGTGCAGGTTAGCGAGGTTACTCGCTCCTCTCTCTCTCTTTGACAACGGACCTGTCTGTGAACAGCCTCTCCTCTGCGTGCACAATCTGAATCAGAACGTGCGCTGGAGGAAGCTCGGCAGCGGGTGCAGCATGTTAAAGCTGGGACGCCCTGTAGGCTACATCTCTACATCTACAGCATCTTTTATCTCAGACAGGCATAACTTGCAAATAAACATGACTTTATGTCCGCGGTAACAAAGGTAGGCCTAGTCTTTGTGAGACATAAATGTTTCTTGTAACGGAATAATCACAATTGACGTTTTTGCTGTTTATCAGGTCTGACAAAACTATAAAAAACATTAAAATTATTTATTTTATTATTGTTGCCAATGAAATTTTTTTGGTAGGCCCATGTTTAATATACTTGTTAATATTTGGAAAACAGACTGTAGTCTTTCATTAACATGATTCATAGGCTCTCTCTTACAATTATCTTTATCACATTATTTTTGTTGCTCTGTGCCAACCAATCCAGTCCTTTTACAACAAGTTCAAATATGTAGTTTGTAGTATTGCACTCGCCAAAAAGGCAGAAAACTGATAAAACTGATTCCACCTCACTACTTGTGGCTGAACGGTTCTCAAAATGAATTGATTTTAGTCATGAGTGTTACTTATATATGAGTTATTGCTGATTATAAGTCACCCAGTCCTTTTAACCTGTGGAAATACCTTTAAAGGGCCAATACATCCAGTAAAAATGGAGTTTTCCACTTGCCAAAAAGTGACTGCAGCCTCGACCTTGTGACTTGGTGTTAGTTGGGTGCTGACTGGGCAGTGTGCAAGAACCTTAAGGTGTAAATCTATGCACCAGTGCACACTGATATGTATTTATATCTACAGTCTCTCTGTTCACTGTTACCTCTTGTTGGCTGGCATCAGATTTCTGTCTGCAGTCAGTTTGCTCAGTTCACTGAAAACCTGCTCTGTGGTGTAGAAGTTGTATGGGGGTTTGTAGCTGAGGGGCAGCACGACTCTGAACTCTTCTGTGGGTTTTCCAGTTGTCTCTTTCAGCTTTTCTAGCTGCTTCAACACCTCTTCGCCATTAAGTCCATTCTCTACCACCAACAGAGCCATGTCAGGGTAACGATTAATTTCAAATAGGTTTTTTATGTCCTCACATGATGCGTCCAAGTCTGGTGTAAATATGAACACATATGTATCATTTTCATATATCGCAGTATTACTCAGAACATTTCTTCGGGATAGTTTAGATAAATCTTTCCCTATGATGTTGGTTATTAGGGCTTTCTTCAAGGAATCTCCATTCCCCAGGACAACGACTGAAATCTTCTTTTCTGTGAAAAACAACAAACATAATGTCATTTTTTACCTTATACATCCAATAAAATAAAAAGTATGTGGTTACATTTGCCCCTGATTTTCCAAAATAGGAAAGCATTAAGAAAAAACATGCTCTACAGAAATGTATATTTCAAAAGAAGATCCTTAGAGGTTTACTGATGCAAAATAAAGAGAGCATTAAAAACCAACATGCCGGATAGAAAATTATTGTTACACAACTTACTGTCAGACATGGTCCTCGGATCCTGTGCAGCACTGAGCCAGATGAGCTGTGTGGTATCTGCAGAATGTACCTGCCTGTTTTATATGGAGCTGTTATGTAAATGTAATGGGGCGTGTCAGCTACTATATAATCTAACAGCAACGTTCTTAATAATCCCTTGACATTCATCTTTGTCGTTTTATTTTATTCTGGAAAATTAACGTGAAATACACAATAATTATACATCTTGTTTCATGTTTTATGTGATTTTAATATGAATTGAGATTCCTTGTTGTTGTGCCTGTGCTTGGTGTTCATATTTGTGCACTGTTAATATGCTGCCATTTTGGCCAGGTCTCTCTTGAAAAAGAGGTAATAAATCTCAATGAGATCATCTGGTTAAATAAAAGTTAAAGAAAAAGAAAGAAAGAGATGATACACTTATTATTATCATTATTGCTGCTGTTATTATATAAATCTAATTAACACATGGGCCAATTTATATATACATAAATACTTTTATAACATATATACATATAGTATAAGGAATAAATTTACCATAGGCAAGGGCGTCACTTTGTAATGCAAAGTGATGGTGACACACTGTAGCCCTTTGGATTAGGGGTGTGAAGAAACACTTAGCTCGTAAGACATCACAGTACGCGTAGATATAGGGTTCACAAGAACAAGACGAAGAGATACTTAAATTACTTAAGACAGTTCATTTCCTGCATTCTGGTGAAAGTTTCTGCACCAATCTATGGTGGAATTTTTGTATTTATGTAAAAGGAAACACAAAATTCAGGTGGCATTTCAAAATATATAAATATAATAGAATGTCAGTCAGTGCAGCTCTCAGGCATTCTGTGCTGCTTTCAGATCTGTTTCTCCTGTAGATCAACTTTTCTCATGTGACATCATCCCTGCTGTTCCTGCTCCCTCATGTTCAAAGGGAGAGAACGGAAAACCTGGCCAAAAAGAAACTGTCAAGAAGTAGTTAAAGTTATTGATTGTTGCGGCACGTTTTTGGGGTCCTTTCATTATTAGGAGCATATTTTTTAAGTTATTTTTTTTCTATATTTTAATTGCATTGCATGTTTCTTAATGTGCAAATAGATCTTTCTAAAAGCATTTTCATTTGTTATTTAACTGCAAGCTATATTTTTTTTTTACAAATTATGCTTTTAAAAAGTGGTGGGGACCAGTGGAAATGACACCTATGACCATAGGCTACATTAAGGACCCAGCCTCATTTGTTAATGAGTTTATTTGCTGATAAGCTCAAAAAAAGTTATTTCTACTCAAGGAACAGCAGTTAGGACAGAGGGTGTTGTATGCTGTCCAGACGGTTACAATCCTTCAGGCAAATTTGTGATCTGAAACATTAATCAGACACTGCATTCAGTTTCCCCACGAGGGTCCTGATTATGCAGGATGACAGTCACCAAAACGGTCTGCTCTTAATGTGCAACCATGTATATTTTTTCCCTGGTTAGACGAACCAAACTTACATGCATGAAAGCAGCTGACAGTCTGTCTGCTGTATTATTTTCCTTGCAAACAATAAAAGTGTGGGGCAGAAAGAGCACTGTATATGTCTACTAGAGGAACTTTCACCCTCTGCAATGAGTCATCAGCTCTGCACCGGGATGTTGAGCTACATAAATTAAAGTGACTTGACATTGTTGAGGAACAAGGAAGGACTAGAGAGCAGGAGCAGATTTTCTTTAAATGATGTTTGTGAAACCAACTGTCATTGATTGATCTTAAAGAAGGCAGTCATGTAGATCTGGTTAATCCAGATCGTCCTGTGTTTCTGTATATCAAACCCTTTAACTTCACGTCACCTTCTTATCTTTCACACGTTGCTCATATGCACACATTATTTTGTACACAGACGTTTAGCATCCATAGTTTCTGAAAATGTCTTAACACTTATGATACAGCTGTCAATTTTATTTGTTAGCTGTGATGCACCAGCATTTAACTCCACAGCTGCAATAAACTTACAAATAAAAAAAATTAAAATTTCACCCAGAATTTGACGACTTTTTTTTTTAGCACCTTTCATTTCCTCTGTGTGTTTTACATCCAGAACTCGCTGCTGTTTATCCGGTTCTTGTAACCTTTTAAAAGTCACATGTGATGAAACTGGTAATGTTTAAGCTGGCTTTTTTATTTTATTTGGTTTGCCAAACACTGTTGTAAATTTAAAAACATTTTTATAGACTATAAGATGTGCATTCTTGGCATGTCTTACTGGCACACCTAAATGAACTTGAGCCTTGGTTTGGAACAGTCGTCAATCTAAACACGGCGCGCTTCGTTTTGCTAAGGTTTCTGGCAGGGACGTGCACAGGCATATTGGTGGGCTGTGGAAAAAAGGGCACTTCTCATAATTATTTACTGAAGTCTTTTTGAACAAAACATTAAATATATTAACACAACTCTGACTTCCTTAGCAATTTATTTTAATTCCCTAACACTCAATAACACTACAATAATCAGTTGAGAGAGAGACCAAGTTTTTTTAGTATTCACTAGGTTTATCACAGGAGCAGGCAACAGCAAAGGAAACTATGCCACAATGTGCATGTTTTCTTTGTTAATAGTAGGCTATCTATTTAGACAACGCATTACTCATTTTAATACGTCATAACTGATGCTTTCAGACAGCTCGACAAAGCGTGAGGATTTTATGGTAAAGATACCCTTCATCGGGGGCTTAACACTTTTATCATGAACGTGGCTACCTAGCTAACTAGGACTAGCACTACCGGTCTGTACGGGATTCCCCAGAGTGTCTCATATAGACGCTGAAGGGTACCTTTAGTGTCAAATAACTACGTTTTTTCACTTTTTTCTGAAAGCGTTGGTATTGGATGCCCTGAGATGAGTACGGGCTCATTTAGAATAAATGACTGCACCAAGGACAGGGACTTAGTGTCACTAATAACTTGTTTATTTTTCACAAGGCAATCAATCGTTTTAATTGTTTTGGTATTATTGGAATACATAACACCTCAAAATCAACAAAAATCGTCGGGCTGCAGCCATAATTAAATAGATGTTATTTAAATACTTTTACTTTTTGTTTCACAAGCAAGATGCCAAATGAGTAAAGATAACCTTCAGCTTCACACAGCCAAGCTACAGAATACTGGATTGCCTGAATACAATAATGTATTGATCAAATACATTATTATTGTTGCTATTATATTATAAACACACACACACACACACACACACACACACACACACACACACACACAATAACTGATGGTAAGACTTTCACATTTTAAGGAAGGGCTGCCTGTATCATGTAAAAAAATCAATCAGCATCCAACAAACCAATAGAATGGATAGTTATTAGATGAGGAGCCTATGATCAGAAAAATAAAGTTACTGTTTAAGGCAGGACACTTTTTCATATTTTGCTTCCATGTCTTCTTTTACTCTCATGGAAATAAAAGTTCAAGAATACGCATTTGGATGGTGTTAGTTTTAAGCTTACTGACCTCATGCTGTTTGCATCTGTAGATTTCTTCTGAACTAAAACGAGCTTATCTGCATTTTTAAACAACATTTCAGGGGAAAAGACTCTTGATGTAAGTCATTAACTGGGGACGTTCTGTGGTGATATGCTTTAGTTATTTTATTTATCCCATTCACCTGCACTGACTTGTCAAATGTGTGCAAATTGGCGATTGTGATGACGTTATTAGAGACAAGTTTTACTGTATTCACTTGTAGTGTCTCCCTTAAGTACAGTAGGCCTACATTAGCCTGTATGGCCATGATATATATTGCCTTTAGTTTTAGTTAGTAGTGATATTGATGTAGTGATTGGCTGTGTATGCCAGGAACATGAAGTTAGTTTCCACTTACATATTCCAGCAGAAAACCCTAAATGGTGGGGGGAATTTAAGCAAACCATGTTACACTTTACATTGTGTCACACATGTCAATAGTTATTTATTTATTTTAAAGATATTCTTTTTACAAGTCAGCACTATTTAGGACAACATTTCCCCCTCGTCCTCTTAGCTCCAAATCTATAAATGAGAAGAATTTATTTAAATCACAAATCTGTGTGGAGGAATAACCAGAAACTATATGAGACACTGGGTATACAGCAAAACTGGGCTTTATTGGTAAATGTAACATGTATGTCATCATAGTTTACAAAAGTTAACAACGTGAGACAGGAGGGAGCTGCTGCACCAGTAAAGAGACATGTCAGACTTCTTTAACAGAATCAAAAAATAATATAAAAACACATAAATCTCTAGTTAAATGCTGCTAATTATAAAGCAAAGTATGAAGAAACCAAAATAAAAGTCATAACTTTATAATCAACCAGTTTCAGATTAATGATTTATTTCATCCCAGCATTTCATTAATCTGGTCTGATTCATACACAGTTATTGTTTCTTCCGTCTTTTTATCAGACAGTGGATAGGCTGTCCACTGTCTGCATTAGCTTCTCCACTTGACCTGAATCTGAGCCACTGTTCTCAAAAAACAACACACCTGTTGCCGCACTTTTTAATTATTTCCCTGAGATCTGTCTGGCAGGCACTCAAAAAGTTCTTCAAGCTCATCTTTGCACGCTGCAGGTCGTCCCCACGAGTAAACAGGATGACTGTTTGTTCCTGAACGTTGTTCCCAAAAGCTTCTTCCAGCTTTTTCAGTATGTCTCTCTCACCGTCTGTAAATCTGCTAATTTGCATCACAAGTAAGTAAACACAAGGTCCTGACTGACAGAGCTGTTTGCACTTTCTCACATGTTCGTTCTTAACTGATGATTTAATCTCATCATCAAAGATGTCTGGGGTATCAATGACCCGTACACGTGTACCGTCTATCTCTGTTTCTGCCACCTGGCACTCTGTGGTGGTCGGATTTGAACTGGTTCTAGACGTGAACTGCTTCTTTCCCAGGATTGTGTTTCCACTCGCACTCTTTCCAGTCCCGGCCATTCCCAGCAGAACAAGGGGTCACTGTGGTGCCAGAGGACTTTCCTGCATTGATGTAGAAAAACACCTTGAGGGAACTTTACAGTGATCTGTTTTCATAAATCCCAGCACATTTTCATTTAAAGGACATTTTGATTTCTTGTCTTTAAACACATACACAAAATACTGCATTTCTGTGATACTTTACATCTTGAAAACAAAGGTCTCACTTTTGAAATTCTTGGTGAAAGGGTTCCATACCCAGGATCTGCCACCTGAATGGAAAGGCAAAAAAATGTTTTTGTAAGTTTGATGAAATCTTTTGGTTCTTTTTTAATTAATCCACCTTCAGTAAACACTACACATTTGTAAGACAACATATTAGGGTTATTGTAGATCAAAAAAAAGTTATGGAGCCTGCCAGGTCCAAAGCTAAAGTGAATTGTTGTGGTAGGATTGTAATGAAGAAGGGGGGCAATGTTAAAATTAGGCCAGTACTTAATTTGTAAATCGGGAGGCTGTACACAGAGAGGCTGCTGTTCTAGCGGGTTACGGAAGAGAAAAAGTCACAGAACACATCAAAAATCCACAGAGACTGGAGCACATTTGACACGCTGAGGTGCTAACTTGCAATGCGCTAGTTGGACCCGGAGTGTGAGTCCTAAAAACTTCAGCCCATCGCCTGTGTTCAGGTCATCTGTTGACTAATAAACCTATTTTCTTATCTTATAATCGCAGAGATCGTCTATTACTACAGTGGCCTGATACACCATCATCCATTTGGCTATAGGTTAGAAAGATGCAGTGAGAGAGACTGTGGCTCACCTCTCTCTGTGTGATGACGCATCTGACTGAGGATGGTCAGCATGCCTATAAGTAGAGGCAGTTACTTCATCTGTAGGTAAGAGTATACAAACAAATATAACAGTCCTGTAGACTACATTTACTAAATATGGCATGCACCAGTGTACACCAACATATTAGATATAAGTTACGTCCAATTATAAATCTGCATGTTTCCTTTACTCTTGTTGGTTGACGTCAGATTTCTTTCTACAGCCAGCCTCTCAGTTCACTGACAACCTGCTCCGTGGTGTTGCATCTGAATGGGTAAGAATCTGGATGTTCAGAGCTCAGTGGCAGAACAACTCTGAATCTTCTGTGGGTTTCCTGTTATTTGGTTCAGCCTTTCTATCTGTCGCCACACCTCTTCTGCTGAAAATCCATCCTCTACCACCAAAGACACATGTCAGGGTGGCAATTAAGAGCAAATTGTGCTTTATGTTCTAATGCTGTGTCCAATTCTGGTGTACATGTGACCTCATATATATCATTTTCAAAGATCTGAGTATCTTTGAGAACACTGGTTTTGTTTAGTTTAAATAAATCTTTCCCTAGGATGTTGGATTAGGGCTTTCTTCAAAGAATCTCCATTTCCCAGAACAATGATTGAAATCTTCTTTTCTGTGAAACAACAAACATAATGTCATTTTTAATCTCATACAATAAAGAAATCTGTAAATGGTTTCAATTTCCCTTAATTATTCAAAAGTGGATCTTTGACTTCAACAATAGAGTTGTATTAATGCAAAGTAAAGAGAGCATTACAAACAAATAGAAATAGTTTAACTTACTGTCAGACATGGTCCTTGGATCCTGTGCAGCAAGGAGCCGACGAGCTGTGAGGTATCTGCAGAATGTCCTTGTCTTTGCCTGTTTTATATGGAGCTGTTATGCAAATATATGGGTGTCAGCCGTGTAGCTATATAAAGAAACAACAATGTCTCAAACAAATGCCTTTACATTCATCTTTGGTCTCTGCACAGAAAACAGTGCTGAGAGAAAATGGCTCTTCTGCTGGTAAGACTCAAAACATTTTGTTTAATCTGCTCTATGTGCTCATATTCACTAAAATATATGTACATCAAGCCAACGATTTACTCTTTCAGACAGCTTGAACACAAGTTATGAATGTTTGCAGGTCTGATATGAGAATTGTGATGATTGGAAAAACTGGTGTGGGCAAGAGTGCTGTTGGAAAACACCATTCTGGGGAGAGAAGTTTCAGATCCCGTCCTGTCAGAGTCGGTGACTGAGAGTGTCAAAAAGCTGCGGTACTCTGGAATAACAGAGTACTTAGTGTGGTAGACACACCAGGGATCCTGGACACTTCGAAATCCCCAGATATCATCAAAAAAGAAATTGT